GGAATGGCGAAGGTTTAGATATAAATGACTTCAATCAACAATGGGAGCTAATGATTGACTGATTGACTGCCTGATTGGGTAACTACAGGTCAATACACAGTGTGAATCTACAGATCAATATACATAATTATTTAGATTCCTTCTTAAGGGAATCAAGGAAATCTCTTTCTCTTGCTAATCAATGCCCATGCGGCAGTTCTTTAAGCAAAAGTTTCACTGTACTTACTTGAAAGTCGCGAAATATTTCGCATATAATTTCATTGATTTAACATTTTGACAAGGCCTTTTTCACACAGCTGATACAGTAATGCATGCCCAGTCAAGCCAATTGGAATAACAATGTTTCCATCTCCATTACACAGATTTCCCAGATAAATTATAATTAAGGGAAAACTGTTAAATATGTATGCATATTTATGCATATATGTATATTTATAGTATTGATAGACGGAAGCCAAGGCTAGGTTCCCATAAAAAGCTAATCAAATAGTACTTCATCTGTATTTGATATGGTCAGGTAGCCATTATCGCTGGGTGTGCTTTGTGCCAGGTACTCAAAAGTCTGATAAGCCAACGAATGCAGAAATAGTTGTAGATGCATCAATGCATATGCAAACAGGTTTGCCCACAGATGCTAAGCCGGAGAGCTAAGCCAGAGTGTGCTCCGGAGATACCCTGTATTTGAAGAGCTACGAAATTCAAATCTTTAATACAGGTAAAGATGAAGAAAGAGAGGGAGAGAGATATACAGAGAGAGGGAGAAAGAGATAGAGAGAGAAAGAGAGAGAAAGAGAGAGAGAGAGAGAGAGCTGAGCTGAGCTGAACTGCATCTACAAACAGCTTCACTCTTTAGCTTATATACATATGCACAGCGCCCATAGACTCGCTTGCTTTATTTACAGGGCATCCAAGACTCTCGACTACTTGTCAAGTCGTCTGACATGTAGATTGGGTCAAACAGCTCTTTGCTCATTTCGATGGGTCATAGATTGGCTATTGTTGCTGCACGCATGCAAATCGTCAACATATTGATAGACACAAACTCCCGCCTCAGCACCCCCCGTCGCCTGCACTAACCAACCCAGCCTGCTTAACTGCTGTACCGCGTCCCCGGATGCCGCCCCCAACTGGGCAGCAGCTGCATTTGTGGAGCGTGAGCTGTTTGTTCAGTGTTTTTGGTATGCCAAGGTCAAAGTCCGATGCGATCCAATGCGACGCCTTGCTGTTACTGCTGTTGTTGCTGTTGTTGTTGTTGTTGCTGCTGCTGCTGCTGCTGCTGCTGCTGCTGTTGATGTTGATGTAGTTTGGATGCATTCACATTGAAATTTAGTTTTAACAATTTTTTGTTGCAGCGCTCTGAGGGGAGGGGTTAACTGCTGTCTCAGCACTGAAATGCGACATTTCTCAGATCTAACCTACTTAGCATGTGGTTAAAAGAAAAAAACTTCATTTCAACTTAAATACAAATATACAATAATATAAATATACAATTTTAATATATGTATGTATATATACCACTAGTGCTGAACTAAGCGAAGTCCAAGGTATTGACTGTACAAAGGGGAGCGCTTAATGGGTCGATGGGTCGACTTGACAATTAAACGGTGACCATAACGTATATTTTATTAAGCTACTCAACAAATACCTGAAGCGCTTGATCTTAAGATGTCACATATATAGTGCAAGCACTAAGGGCTTCCTCTCTAATTCGCTGATCTTATGCTTGTGTGTGCAGTACTCATTATATAAACTGTCGTGTGCATTTGAGATGTAGCTTAGAAATATAACATGTTCCAAACTAACCATGTTATATAACATACAAGTAGATCATGAATACCGTATTAACGTACCGTACCACATAGCACTACCAACAAATGTGCTACATAGCTGTAAGACATATGTGATATATCATAATATATCATATTTATACAATGTACTACGTACCTTAATTAGTTGACATTTACCATAGTCTGATTAATGGAATTCTATTACAGTCGAGGTTCGATAATTCGAAACGATTGGGGGATGAGATTTTTTTATGTTTACACAGAAATTGAAATTATCGAGAATTATCGAGAACATATTTTTTTCAAGCGGATAGAATTTGTTCGATTTGTCGCAATTTTCGATTTATTGGCGTACAAATGATCGAGACTCGATTGTATATGGTAAGCCAATTTAATGTATCAGTTTATAAGTACCATACCACCCCATTTACCAATACCAAGGAGCCAAGGAACATTAGTATATCAGTGTACCAAGAAGAATATATTCCAAAATAAATTACAATAGAGTCCGGTTATAACGACTCCGTTTATAAAGCTCGTACGATTATTGCGACGAAAATTCTATACCCTAGACAAACTCATATGAGTAAACTCAACATAACGAATATGAAGACGGTGCCTTGAGCGTCGCTATAACCGGACTCCACTGTAGATCTATTAAATCTTTAATTATTTACAGGGTAACTTACAGTATAGCAAACCAGCTTGTATTTAGCTGTTTTACAACATTTGGTCTAGTTGACTAAACACGATTAGTAAGCGCATGTCAAGTGAATACGGCGCGTTGGACTTATTACACTTATTGGCCACTCTATTAGACTCCACCTCGAATGGGCAACACGTTCGTGCAGACACGTTCAAGTGCGTAATCCACACTCGAGCTCGAGCATTGGGCATTGGGCAATTGTTGGATCCAGCAACGAGCCCAGCCCGACCATCGCGTCCACTGGGCATCCCCCAGCTTGTTTATGGACAGCTGACAGCTGACAACTGGCACACGTGCTGTCCATCGCCGTGGACAGTGCCAAATCGAACGACGACCTTGATCCCATTTGGGTTGGGCCAAAGTTTGCAAACTGCGCATTTTCTGCGTGGCTAAAACATTTCCCAAAATAATCAATATTTTTACAAAATATTCAATGAACGAACCTTGAATGAAGCCAATTTCGGAATCGACTTAACCATTTAGGAAAAAGTATAACAGACTTTAACCACTTGATATTAGCTACAAGATTACTTGAATACTTTTTGACAATTAATCAGCATCCGATCTAGGGTGCAATGAAAATACAGTCAATGAAAATAGCAAGACAACAAGTTTTATAAATAACACTTTCTGATAAAGTTGATCCCTAGAAATCGTATGCTTTAGGAAAATCCGGATTATTCTGGGAAAAATTTATTCAAACTGAAAATCTTTTGAATTTCGAATATATACAATTTTTTGGAAAAATAAAACTCAACTCAGTCCACCACTTTTGATAATATAAATTGCGATGGTAGTTTATGAGCTGATTCGATTCTAGCTCCACAAAGTTTGAATTTCGAAGAGAAATTTAGAATATATTTAATTTTAAATTCATCCTAAGGAGACTGCTACCAGTTCTTGATTATGAATACAACTAAGGAGCCTAAAAGTATGCCAAGTTTTAGAATAGATATACTTATATACAAAGTAAAATCATCTTTATGGGTCAAACGAAAGTCCAAAAGTATATCAATTCTTATCGTCGCACTAGTTTGTAGTCATGTAAACTTGACTATTGTAAACTTTTTAAATTGCCATCATTTAGAGCGACAGGTGATGATAATGATAAGGAACATATATGTATATGCACCATATAGATACCCTGTACAAATACACTCATTACAGAGAAAAGCAGTTGAAGCATATTGGTTCATAAACTATTTTTAAAAATATTGTATAACTGATTGATTGAGTGAATTATTAGCAAACGCCTTAATTGACTGACTGATGAAGGACTGACCAATTAATTAATTGAATCCTTAATTGAATTTTAACATTGATTGACCGATCGACTGAATCCATAACTGAATCTTATTATTGATGGACCTATTAACTGAATCCTTAACTCACTCTTAACATTGATTGACTCATTAACTCAAGAAATGACTTATTGACTGACGGATTGATTGACTAACTGACCAATTGAGTCAGTAGCTGCTCAACTGACTTGATTGCTCTCTACTTGCTTGATTGATATCTTAGCTGATGGATTGATGGACTGATTAAATGAACTCTCTGACTTGACTTGCATAATGTAAGCTAGTTGAATATCGCCAGTCACACACAAATCCGGAGAACCCAAGGCACATAGATATCATGAAGCTTGTTGCGACGAAATAAAGTGTAGAGCAGAAAGAACTTTGGAATTGTTTATATGTATAAATCACGAGAGTATTATGGATGCAAGTGGGTGTGTGGAAAAACAACGAGATTACGTTTGTGAGTAAACAAAATCTATTTGAAATGAGCTTGCTCTTACAAACAAGGAAAGCAGGTTTGAGCATCGTCTATTCAATCTAGTTTGACAGCTATAATGAAACAGAAGCTTTGTCTCTCTCGCTATCTCTCTCTCTCTCTTTCTCTCTTATATCTCACTTTTTCACTCATTTTCCAGCGCTTGCTCTTCAAGTAACTTATTTCTGGCTATTCTTAGAGCTTACAGCCGAGTAACTACTATTCGCATTGGCCTTCTGCCCAGACATGTTTGCAATTTTCATGTGGGTCAGTCGCGACGCTTTTTTTATTTATTTTGTTTTCATACGACTTTTCATTTTTATGGTCATCATGTGCATAACAATCTACTCGCTCGAATACTCTATGCCTACCAGAGATCGACACTCACTGCTTGCGGTTGATCAGCATTGCGATCCAATATAGATATCAATTTTTGCAGGCTCTACAGCTAATAGGGGGTGGCTAATGGCAGTTTATAGGCATGAGCCCATAGAGCACATATTCTAGATCAGCTTATTATACAGCAATTTTATTATTACTTTCCTTTTAAATATATTTAGCATACCACATATATATTAAAATATACATATGTATTTAATTTCTTAAAAATTGGCATTCAAATTTTTTAGATATATGTACCATATAATCTTTCTTAATATAGTATATTCTTCATAGTATCTTCATATTATACYTATCTTTCAGCTTACCTTCTATAGTACATCTTCAGTTTTTATATTTTACCTCTTATAGCGTACCCTATACCATATATATAATAATATAA